ATGGATAAAATAATTAAGTTTTAATTGTGATGAAGAAAAAAGTATGGTCTTTTAAATCTCTTACGCCTAAATATATACGACTTGTAAGCAAATATACTTTGAATATTTCATGTAGTCAGAAACCAGAGAAGAATGCTACCTTAGTATACACTCTGAATTGTCTGCTGATTTTATTTTTCCCTTATAATGACAATGAGCACGCAGCGGTAGTGTCTGGTTAGCAGGGGATTCTCACTCGTCCATGACATCTGATCCCACCTCTGAAGTCTCGGAGGTCCGTGTTATTCTGCTCCTGTTTTGCATTGTTTTTATGGATTCTGTACTGACTCAAGCCTGAATACTGTTCGTTTTTTAGATATTTCATTTATACAAGCTCTGCGTTAGAAAATGAAAGTGCAAGCTTTTTTGACATCATAAACAACTGCCTTTTTCATTGCAAATAAAACTTTCTTACATGTACCTTGTCATTTCCAAAATTACTTTGTTAAAAAATATTCTGATTGAACAAACAAGTACTTTTCAGTTGATAACTTAATATTAGATAAATATTTGAATTTCTGATTGACAATATCAATGTTGTATTTAGAGATTTTGTCATCCAACAATCTATCAAAATTCCCATATGTTACAAATTGTGCCCTTTTAAGCAGACCTAATTTAGTATTGATATGAAGCAATTTTTTTTTCAAAATCTTGAGAAATCACATGAGAAGAAAACACTTGCTCTGGCCCTCAACTTAACATTTAGTTATATCAGCAATGCACATTTACTATTATTAGTTAAGATTAGCTAGCTACATATGCTGTCTCAACTTTAAATAAGAGAAACCACATGGTCCGATACATCTGTTTCATATTATAATATTTTACTCTAAAAAGACGTCCATGGTAACCTAACAACAAAACTTTATGTAAAGGAGTTGACTTCAACTTTTCTATCATTAGCTTCCCTTATCAATGTATCAGTATACCACAATCATCTTCATAAGTGCTTACATCTTCCGGTTGATTTGGTATACAAAAGTATGCTATATCCACGAAAACGTTCCGAAACAATGAAGGATATGGAAGTATCGAGCAATATTCAAAATCAGAGTTCATAAAACAATACAAAATAGGGACAGAGCAAACACGGACCTCTAAAACAACAGGTGCCATGGAGGAGTGAGCATCCCCTGTTGACTGGTCACACCCGCCGTTTTCTCCTTGTCATGATCGGGAAATAACGGAAAAATTCGTCGTCAATTCAGTGTAGACTAGCAATTAGTATGAAAAACATCAGTCAGCATAAAACTCTATGATAAATTGTATTTGCTGACAAGGTCATTTTATCGACCAAAGAACGTACGAAATGATGACTTTAAACAGGACTGCTGATATTCCTGTTTCATCAACTTGTCTGTTAATAATTTTACTGCGTTTTAGAAATTGTTCATACATAGAGCATGTTCTTGCGTATCGATTCAACTGAGATATATACACTCCGTATGCAGGTGACGAAGGTATATTGCGGCAAAATTAAGGGAAGTTGACGCTAATAATGGAGCGCAATTGGTACCCATGGGAATTCCAAGAGATTGTTAGAATACCTGGTCTCCAAAAACCACGTAGATATTGTCAATCAGGTTTTAAAGGGTTTAAATAACAGAAATGAATTATAAGGCAAAATCAAACGAGACTTTGGTTACATTTTCATTAAAGGATTTTAAATGTTGGTTAGGAATACTGGAAAATACATGAAGAAAAATTAAAGAAACACACCTCAAAAGTTTACCATGCGTTTCTTTTAGCTTATATAATTATGCAAATAATTCTCTTTTCACCAGAGACAAACTTTTGGCAGAAGCAAAGCAGGCTGTACAAAACATCGTGAGACCAGCATTTAAAGAATTGGCTGAATATATAGAAAATGTACGTGGATGCATTTGTTTTAAAAGAATTATTATTGGTATTCATGCCGTCCTTTTAAATAACAGCAAAGTTGAAATTCGTTTACATTTTATTTATTGTAAAACGTTGTAATATCCAATAACACCTTCAAATCTGAGTTCCAGAGACTTGTACACTGGCGTACTCTGTGACATTTGTAGGATTATTTGAAGCACACACGCTCTGATGTAGCGGCCTCCTCCCTCCCTAATGGTCAGGAGCTATATCAGGCATGTCTGGATTTTCATCTTTCTCTATCAATGACCCCAAAGGAAGTGTTTAACATAGGTCAGGAAGAGGTGGAGAGAATCACGCAGGCAATGAAAAAGATCACCCAGGAGGAAGGCTATGGAACAGATATAAGGAAGTTTAAAGAAGACATTTCCAAAAGGGATGAATTCCACTTTAAAACTCCTGTACGCTCATGTCCATGTTTTGTGTACAGTCAAACATCTATATCTTGAACTGAGATATCTGATCATTCGAGATAACAAGTGTTAAATAATGAAAGAATAATTAGGGGAATCCAATCTACTTTCATATTTCTCTATTAATTAAGATATGTTTTCAAGATATCGAAGTTTAACTGTTAGACTAACTAAAGGAATTATTTTGGCTAAAATCATAATTATGAAATACCAGTACCATGGTTTTAAGAACAACGTGTTATTTCTCTTTTTTATGTCTTCCATGGTGTGACATTATACTGTACCTGTGTTATTATTTTTTTCAGGAAGAGCTGATTGATTATGTACAGAAGACATGTTTTGAGAAAATTCAACCAAAGTTACCTCTTTTATTTAAGGAATTTCCAAAATCTAAACTGAAGTAAATTAGTCTGTGTATCTCCGTCTCTGTTTTTCCTTCTTTCTCTTTCTGGTTGTTGATGAATATAGCTTTTATACATTTGAATTCTTTATTAAAGAAGTCTTTGACTTTTGCAATGCTTATAAATCAAAGTGTACCAGGCTTTGTGTTTGTATAGAGATAAAAAAAGATCCATTCCATTTATAATAAGAAGTCTAAAGCTTGAAATGCACAGCGATTTAATTTGCATCTCTTTCTTATTCAAATTCTAAACAGTACAGTAAACTTGATTTTACTGAGACATACCATTTTTATTAACATTAGGATAGAGGCCACTCCGCCCCTTATGGATGGTGGAGCATTGGCGTTCTACATGAGTGGGTCCCCTGATGGAACTAGGCCTGGTGTGTACTACATTAGTACATCTAACTTGCCTGGAAGGTAATGATACAAAATGTCTATATATTGGTTGTACTACATCAGTACATCTAATTTATCTGGAAGGTAATGATATAAAATGAATAGATATGTGGTGTAATATATCAGTAATCTAACTTACCTTGAAGGTAATGATCGTAAAGGTACTTGGACACAGATTTGAAGTTGATATTTTCTGTATAATATCACGAATTATATATTTTAACAGCATTTCACACAAAAATTAATTAAAAATATTATTTCATTTAAAAGTTATTAAAACTTTATATTTTTAGCGGGTTTGATTGACACACCCTTGCACGTTCACAAAGAATGGAGGCGTACAAGGCAAGGACAATCCCCCGCTCTGAGAAAAGATATTTTTCAATTCTAAAAGTTATATCTTTCAAAATTATATTGTTTAATCATCTCTTACACATTTAATTCTGTGTTCAAAATTATAAATGGCTTTATGTGGGGTGTTTATTTCAATACACCTAACTTTTCTGGAAGATAATGACACAACATGTCTATACATTGGGTGTACTAGATCGGTACAGATGACCTACCTGGAAGGCAATGATACAAAATGACTTTACAAAAGTGTAATACAATATAAATTAGTACATCTATTACTTGGAAAAACTTACTAGATATTACAATATACAAGTACGCTTAACCAAAGGGTAAGATTTTTAAGGAAAATTAATAGAAAAATACCGAAGAACTTAGTTAAAATAAAATTTTTGACTGAAGTCTGTTCTCAGTTTATGGTCTTACAGCGTGGTGTGTACATCACTTTACATTTTACATGCTGTATGATACATGTAAATAATTCTTAATAATTTTAATTTTTGAAAGCCAATTGATTATTTACCATTGTTGATTTTAACACACAAAATGTATGCATGAAAATTAATCCATTGCTTTGCAATAATACATCATGTATCATCAGATATTTTTATTTAAAAGTTATTTAAAGTAATTAAGTGTTACTTTCATGTACTTATTTTTTCGATTCCTGTTTTATTTTTGTTTTAAATAGCTTCTATTTAAATTCCTATTTAAGTGTACATTGCAAATATCACTGAGATAATTGTGTACTCTAAACTGTTTGATTAGTCAGTAACATTGTCTTGAAATCCATGAACAGAAATTGTTCTATAATCATCCATTTTTCAGTCCAAAATATGAACTACCAGCTTTGAGTTTACATGAAGGAGAGCCTGGACATCATTTTCAAGTCAGTATCTGTTAAAAGTATCTGAGAAAAAAGTGTCACGATATTCATGAAGTAGATACGTTGTACTTTTTGCATCAAATATTGAAGCAAGAGTTACTTTTTTGTTTCAATATCCAACATGTTTTGAAGAAGAATTGATCTGATTCATTATCACTATTTTAATGGGTATCATATCAATATTCTGGACCCTAATGAAACCCAAAGGGACCCAAATGGAATCCAAATGGACCCAAATGTTCTTACTTATTCAAAATATTGAAAATAATGAACTTTTAAAACAAAAGGAGAATATTTTAAGGACAGATGATACAAAAAATGGATGCCTTGATTGGAATATATTTTTTGGCCTAATTTAATTGCAAATGATGCAAATAATAATTTCTAGAATATAAAGAAATTGTAAACCTTCTGTGATGTTCAAAAGTGTGCCCTTCTGAAACCATCCTTATTAATCTATACAAATATTTTTCATTTTAAATTCCATTTTTGTACAAATTTGATTAATAAAGTGCCCCGCCACAGCATGATACGCCCGTCAAATATTGTTCAACAATCATAAATTGTTTAGGTTGCAAGAAAATCAGGTAACTTTCATTAACAGATTGACACAGATGTCAATGATCTGATTTCCATTGCTTATTATGTTTAAAATATTGTACATACATCTCTAAGAGACTTACAGTGTAGGAATTAATTATAACAAATAATGCATCATATAATTCCAAACTGGCTGTGTTAGAACTTAACAAATATCCATCTGCAGCTTTAAATTGTTTATTGCATATTTTATGAAATAATGGATTCGAAATGTCTAATGAAAAATAAAAAAAAATTAATTATTCTTTAGACTTTATATGACATGACTGCAATTTGTTGCAAATATGTAAAAAATGAAATGTACTTTTTTTAATGAACACATGTATTATTATTTTTAGTTATATTATACAATACTAATTGAGTTTTAATTATTACACTAAAACATCAATTTGTTTTAATTACATTACACCAATTGAGAGATCTTTATCTGGGCTAATTGGCCATCAAGAACTCTTAACACAAGCAACTATGAGGCCATTTCTTTTTGCCCACCCCCAAGAGATAAATTAAGATAACAGCTGCATGATCAGATCTAGAGATGCTCTTAGACCACCAGCTAGCTCCTTACAATAAACTCATTAATTTCTCTCTAATTTGAAATGCAAATTTCTGCTATCAAAATTCTTCTACCCGTCTACCCAAGAAGTATCAGTTAACTAAGTTTGATAATCCTATGCCTAATAGTATTCAAGTTATGAGGCAGACAAGAATGGTCAGCTAGACAGACGAACATGAAGCCTATTACATAATATGTCCCGTCTTAAGACGGGCGTATAAAAAATTAAAAACTACGCGGTGAAATTTATTCATTTTATTCATTTAAACATGACCCAAGTTGTAATTTTCAAATTCTTTGAAAAAATTTGATTGTATCATCTGTCCTTAATACTATTTTTTCTTAAATTGTAATCCAAATAACGATCTTTTCCGTTTGTAATAACTTAATTGGGGAGGGGGGTCAACCCCCCCCCCAAATAATGTTGCTGATATATAGAATACTCTCAAAAATCATGTCTCAAAATACAATATTAGATTTTTTAAAAAATCATTTATTCAATAATGTACAACATAACAGTGAGGCAAAACTTCCACAGAAGCCCTCTGGTAATACTTCACCAGGGATACCAGGAGTTCCCTGGATCGATATAATATTATATAATATATTTCCAATTTAATCACAGAATTTTTCACATTATACCAATATATAATTATTGAAGCTTCATTTTCATACATATACATAAATATCTCAAAGGAAATTTTTAGCATTTTTATATATAAAAACAAAGTATTCGTTTAACACCAATAGAAGCATGGCCCTTATTGCAGTGGAGATTGTGTGAAAAAAAGAAAGAAGTCTATATCAATCTCAATGTAACTAGTTTTTAGGGCGCCGGGTCACCCCAAAATACGGGTCTTTTTATGTTTTACATCTTATGAACAGGATCAATATACAGAGTTTTGTGATAATAAAGTTAGATTATAAAAAACACATCAGAATGAATGAATGTTACAAAGATATGAATATTTTTTCCTCGCATACATAGTTTGAATCATATTTTGAGCATAAAGTTTCCAGTTACAAGAAAAATAACGTAGCAAAAAACTAGTGTGTCTTATAGTGGATTTAAATGTGAATACATATTTGTATATATAGTTTATCACGGCAGCATATACTACTAATACTATAACTAGTATTAGAATCACAATATATTTTGAAACATATGATTTATTTTCTCTTTGAAATTTGTCAAATCATGTGATTGTAACAGTGAAAAATTCGATTTCATTTCATTTTTGAATGCATTTTTAATACTGAAGTCAGTAATTTTTAAATTCTCATATTTAATTTTATTTCTTGTTTTCCATATGACCCATTTATAAATACATATTAAAATGTTAACAACGGTTCTTTGGGTTTGCGGTTTCTTCAAGTAGCCTAATGTTATTGTTTGTTGGTCAATTTGTAAAGTTCCATTTAGTTGCAGCACATTTTCAATTATATCTTCTAGTAATTTGAGTGTTGTTTTCACTTTTGTGCAATGGAAAAAGAGGTGTTGTTGATTTTCTTTATGATTTTTACATAGGTTGCATAAACCATTGGATAGTCCGATTTTACTTAATTTATCTTCAGTATACAATATATTATGCACGCATTTCCATTGGAATTCTTGAATTTTATTTTCAACTTTCATTTTTGAAATACTGTCCCAAACAAAGTTCGGCTGTATGTTATTTTGATACATATTTTCCCATTTTTCTTGACATTTTGGAATTATTGTCTTGTTTAATATTTTTTCTATGTTCTTTAACTTGATATCTTCAAAGGTTACCACTTTATTAGTATCTCTTTTTATGAGTGAATTATTATTCAATTTATAAGGAAGTTTTGTTTCGCTATTTGATACTGAACTGTTTCTTTTCAGTATTGGATAAAACAGTTTGGGAATGGCTGATTTTATTTTACTATATTCAAATATCCAACACCTTTTGTCTACTAATTTATTAAAAATGGTGTCGTTATATTTAAAACAATTTTCCGCATCATTCTAAATGTCTTTAATTTTTAATAAACCACTTTTAATAAATGATTCCACATATAGGCTTTTCCCTTGGAATTGTATAAGTTTATTACCAAAGAGTGAAAGGTTAAGTATTTCCTCTCGATTCTCTGGCTTAAATTTTGACTGAAATTCGCTGTATGCGATGAGAGCTTTATCATAAAAACTAGACATGTTATTTAAGGAAATTGGAGATAAATCTGAACAAGTGCATAAGCAATATTCTTGACTTGAATGCATATCTTTACTCTGTAACCAGTTTTACCAATAGCATTCCATGTTTCTAACTTTGAATGCATGATTTTATAAATTGTTTTTATTTGTTTACTTTTTATAAAATTAAATATATTTATCATGTTCATTCCTCCTTCGTTCTTGCTTAAGCAGCACACGTTTCTGTCAATTTTATTTATTTTATTCTCCCAAATAAAAGACCACACAATGTCATTTATTTGTTTTGCATATATATCCGGTATTCCCCTCATTTCGATTTCATAGCCAATAATTGGAATTGTTAATTTTTTTATTATCAAAGTTATCCCTTTGAATGTAAGGTTCTTAGTTTTCCAGACATGCAAGCTGTTCATTATTTTTTTTCTATGTTTTCCAACCATATTGCATTAGTATCAATACCATATCCATGATTTACCCCCAAAGTTTTTATATTAGTTTTTATCCACTGTATCTTTTTAAATTTTGGTGTTTTACCTTTTGATTTGCCTATAAATAGGCCCTTTGTTTTTGAGAAATTGATTTTTGCCCCAGAGGCTTTTTCATATATTTCTAACACATTGAAGGAATTTATTATAGATTCTTCGTCCTTATTAAATAGTTGTGTCTGCGAACATATTTATTTTACATTCTATTTTTTGATCTTTATTGGGAATTAAAATACCCTTTATCTACGGATTTTGTCGAATAGCACAGGCCATAGGCTCTATTTGAAGAACATATAGAAATTAATTGTTAATTAAAAACTCAATTTGTAACTGAAGTTCATTTATTTCAATCATTTTAATAAGTAATAAAATACGATAATACATATTCAATATTCCATTTGATTTCCATTTGGGTCCATTTGAGTTTCCATTTGGATCCATCTGTTTCCATTTGGGTCTATTTGGGAAAACCGACGCGCCGCAATATTCCTCACAAATACGTATTTAAAAGATTATTTTCGTGATAGTAAAACTGCACTTTGTTAAGTTTATGTTATGATTTAAGAAAATATTCCTATTTCAGGGAATGATTGCTATGGAAATAAAGGATATCCATAAATTCAGAAGAGCTCAAGAGGATCTGCACTATTCTGTTGTCCCTTCCAGATTTCCAATGTATACTGCACATTTGGAAGTATGTTTAAACATGTATTTTAACAATTACTGGGTTGGGGAAATTTCCTGTTAAATTAATAAATGCTTTACCACTAATTTTTTATTAAATACATATATGAGTTTTATGAAGAGACTTACTTTTAAATTCGACAGCTTACTTTAACATTTCAGTAATTGGAGTTTGTCTCTCTTTAAATTGTAGAAGTCAGTCGTCGATTGTAAAAGGAAGTCTCTTCATAAAACTTCTATATTAAAGTAATTATTTTAAGACTAGAAATTAGTAAGAAATGTGCATTATGAAATTTTATTCAGATACTACGTAAATAATGTTGACTTTAGGGTTGGGGTCTGTATTGTGAATATTTGGGAGAAGAACTCGGCTTGTATGAGGATAACTACACCTTGTAAGTGACATTGAAGTTAACATTATGAAAGATTAGCTCTGCTCTTATTTGGTAATGTTTATGGTTTTTTGGTCTTAAATACTGTCCCTATGTTTCACTTGAATCGTTGATGACCATCTTATCTTTGGTTGATATGCTCCTTTGTTAAGGTTTGGGCGATACTGTTTTGAGATTTTGAGAGCTGTTCGTCTTGTTGTTGATACAGGGATTCATGCCTTTGGGTAAGTTATGATTATTGTATTCATACTGTTACGAGAAATAAGAGCTCCTACTGAAAGTATTGTAAAGAAAAACAAATTGTTAAAACCATTATGAAAGCTGATTTTTTTTTTGCCTTCTTGTATGTTAGTCTTAAGTATTTTTAATGATTTAGAAATTTGAGGTCGGTTAGATAAATAAATTAGTTAGAACTATTTTTTTTAAAAATTTCAATTTATGTAAAACAACTACATATACATTATTATAAGGCCATAACAGTCACTTAACACTTTACAACTTACAAAATTGTTATGCAAAATAAACTGAATCCTCACGTCATAGAAATACTTCGTTACCATTTCCCCGGAAGCACTTTCTAGCGGGGTACAAGTTTCTCTAAAGTTTAGCGTAAACGATATCATGACGTACTATTTTAATTAGAAAATAATTTTTCTTATTTTATGAGATTAAGCAAGTATGAAATAGTTGGAATTTGGCAATAAATTGAAGACTTAATGAACTTTTTAAAGTGCGTGAAAATGCGTGATTGCGGGGAAACGGTAAATGCGTGATTTTGCGTCAGAAATAGGAAATGGTATATGCGTTAAAATGCGTGACTGCGGGGAAGGGGGTTAAGGCCGCAGTTGTGATCGTTCCAGAATTTTTTTTTTCATTTTCATTTCTTGACAACCAAATCTTGGAAGTATTCCTTTTAAGTTGGACTTTTGAGGAGGCCCTGAATTACATGAAAGAGAAAATCTTCATGGATGCCAAACATTTGGAAAAGGAATGTAAAAGATATGTTACATTGCCAGGACAAGCATGTGCCTATAAAATTGGTGAAATAAAACTAAAGCAACTACGACAGAAAGCCAGTCTAGCATTAGGTAACAGAACATGAATACTTGATTAATAATTTTTTATACAATCTGCAGTTTATGATAAGGGTTTATTTAAGAAGAAAATTTTATTTTTATTATTTAAATATGTTGATAGGTATTGTGTTTGCAGCCCTCTCCTTTTTGTACTTTTAAAATTCCTCCATTTAAAATAAGAAAAACTTTATTCAAAGATGGTTTCAAAGAGAAAAATGCATTTACCATTTTTACGACAATAACAACACACATGCATTAAGCAATTAATAAACAGTAAACAGCACCATGTTATAAACATACATTTATAATCATTTACTGATGAAATTTTTAAAACAGCCTGCCTTATGAAAAGGATAGGTATATAATGTTATGACAATGAAGAGAAAAAATTTACATATCTTTTCAGATGGAACAATACATAAACAAAGTTCTTTCAATTCCATGAGTCTACAAGATATTTTCAAAATAATAAGGAGAGAATTTATTGTTTGAAAAGTTGTAAAAATTACATACAGTGTGTGATCTCATGAAAATTACATGCCATAGAAATATGTGATCAGAGCATATTCAATAGACCCCTGAGAAATCCAGAGTTGCCTTAAAGTCTTTTTCTAACCTTTGCAATTTTCTTTAAATATTTAATTTCAAAAACTGAGACAAAAATTGTACCACAGGTATTAAACGTTTGCAAATTGTCAATGTTACGATCTTGATGATGATTACTTATCTCAAATCTTGACAATTAACGATTCAAGACATCGTCATTTCGAGTCAATCAAAACTTCAGTTTAACAGATAAACACTTTTCCAATGACGAAGCAATATATTGATGTTATAATAATCTGAAAATTAAAATCTATGGTATCAAAATTAAACTATTGTAATACAATAAAGATTAAAAACAGATACTATTGTAGAATTTGACCCTTTTATGACATAACTACTACATGTTTGCATCATATCAATGACCATTCTCCTCCTTTGTCAGTTTTCTCTGCATTTCATTTTAAAAATTTAATGTTTTCGTTAAAAAAATATTCTTCGTCTTAAATAATTGAGTATTTATAATAAAAACCTTGTTTGGCATGGTTGTTCTGAAAAGGACAGGGGCTATTGGGGAAAAAGTTGTAGGTTAGAAATACATGTACATGCTTATGAACCTTTTGAAGAAGTACATTTTAATAGTTGCTGTACATTGAAGTCTGAAACCAAAATAATTTTGTGGCCTTGATTATAATGTACCTAACACCGTGTGGTGTATAATGATGCGTTTCCTTCATTTTTAGGAGAACGGTTTGACATAAGAGACTTCCACTCTGTGGTCTTGAGATGTGGGGCAGTGCCACTTAACTTTTTGGAGCAAAAAGTTGATGAATACATCGAGGAAATAATGGCGACTTAACCATCTATAGAAAATGGATGTTTAAAATATGATAATCAGACGAATTGTTTAGAATCGTTTTCTTCTAAAAGCTCTATTGCTTATGCTACTTGTCTTTATCCCACATTTAATATTGACATATAAATTATAAAAATTATTAGGTTTGATATACATGTATGTGAAAATTTGAGAAAATATGGTTTAAAACTCTTCATTTGTGAATTTCTGAAGAGAGGAACAATTCCACATGGTTTGAGTTACATGTAGTATATCAAATGTAGATAAACAGGCAGAATTAATAATTTATAGTGATTTGTCATAGACAGGAAGTGAGAAACAATAAAATTCTATGTTTACATAATCTGAAGATTTTTTCTACCTTAGTAGATATTTGTTATATCACTGTGTCATTGTTTTAATATACAGAATAACTTTGACATGTTTCATTGCCTTGGTGTATAAGCTGTAAAGACATATAAACCTAATTTGAGTAAGGGTCTTTGATTTAATTTGACAATTTGTACTTTCGCTGATCATGGAAAGAGCTTTATCTAATGACTTTAATTTTTCATCGCGAATATCCCTCACTTTTTAGCTTTATATTCAAACAGGGCTCATAACTCTTACTTGATTCGTTAAGCGAGATCATGCTCTACGTATGAATAATTTCTAAAACGAGTTAAAGTTTTGATAAGTATCTAAAACAAGAATATCAGACGCCTCGTATAACGTCATCGTTTTATAAGTTTTATGTTCGATACTGTTATTAAGCTTGTCAGCAATTAAATACAATTTATCATTAATAAGTTTAATGCTGACAGACGTTTTTCATATTTATTATTAGGCCATTATATACACTGAATTGAACAATACAAATTAAAAAGAAAGTAAACACGGACCTCCAAAAATTAATGACCCTCGTGTAAAGCTCTGAAATTACCTACGACACGAACACTAAGAATTGTCAATTTTTCAGAAGTTTCTAATCAATATTCATTGGTTTACAAGAAAAAAATCTGCTTCTTCTTACACTTGCTCTCTCTGTTGTAACCAAGGGCTGTGACTCGTTGAATATTATATTTCACCACTTGATATTTTCTTCAGGTAAGGAGATGGGCGAACTTAGCGTGCAGAAAGCCTACTAGCTACAGATATATAAAAGTCTAGCTGCAAGAATGTTGCCTTCTCCCTTTGGGGGAAATCAGCTTTAAAAAAATCGGAAAGGATTGCATTATTGCAGCTATAATTAATAAAAGACATATATTCAAATTTTGAATTTAGTATTGGAGTAAAGTTCTCTTTATTGATATTTATGAAATCAAGATAAAGAAAAAAATTCTTAGAAAATTTTTTCGTTAAATTTCATTCTTTTATGAAAAGAAATATGATGTGGTATCCATTGGGTTCAAACCCTAGCAATAAAATCCTACGTATAAGCGTTTAGCATTCTCTATTGAGACTAGCACGCTAACCACTATGCTACACAACACCTAATGAAGACTGGCATTTAAATCATGTTTGTGATATGACTATTAATCTTGTGGACTTCAAGTTTTTGTCGAAAATAATACAAATGCTATGCATAAAATTGTATTTTTATGGTATAATGGGTCCTTGCTTCATATTTTGTAAACCAAACTATTTATAGTTGTATGCTAACTTTGAGGATTATCTTTCAAAAAAGGAGCGAATACCCACTCATACCGAAAAACAGTGTTACATATTGGAAAAAGTATAACTCGTTTTACAATCTTTTGTGTATGTATTATTCTTCATAGGCAAATAAAATAGGTAATAAAATTGGATTGTAGTATTGATTATGATTTAAGATATTCATTTTAAAAAGTCACACTTTTAATGAAAAATCATTTTAAAAATAAAAATAATTAACATGTTTTTGAAAATTGTTTTACTCGATTTGAATTTTATAATTGTTGAAGAACACTCTATAAAGAATTATTTAGTCTTTTTCCAAAGTACAATTTCATTATGAATCTTAAAATGTTATTAAACTTTTAAATGATAATAAACTAAAGATATATAATTTTCCATTGGTTTATATTAGACTTGTACAAAACAGCATATCTTTTTTAACAGCATGAGTAAAAAAGGCAAATCTTCGGAAAAGGTATGATCTTAGATTGCTGACACTTGTTCTTCATGTATTTACAATAATCAACCAATGAATATTAACATGTTAACACTGTCTTACAAATGATGATAAATTATATGTATCAGGAATGTATATCGAGTTAAGTAAACTTTCTTATTCAGTGGAGTTTTAGTGAATGTAATTTGTATATTAAATATTCTTTGACGTTAGAATTTAATCCAATTTTCAGGTTAGCTATTCTTCCATTTTGCGATAAAAGGGTAGCGGTGTACATTTTTTTTAATGAATTAAAATATCATTACGAAAAATATGTAAATGTTTTTATGACACACAAAACGAGCTCGCGATGAACGTAATTATACCCCTGCAAACGAAATTTAGGGGGTATATTGGAATCAGCTTGTCCGTCTGTCCGTCTTTCTGTAGACAAGATTTTGTCCGGACCGTTTCTCAGAAACTATTGGATGGATTTGTCTGAAAATTTGTACACTTATTATTTTCCATATGAAAGTGTGCAACTGGTGTTTTCATCGTGATTGGATGATTTTTCTGCACTTTACAGGCATTTTTTCTTTTTTCTTTTGTTGTTTGTTTGGCTCATAACTAGAAAACTATTACACCTACAATCATCAAACTTGGCTAATTTATGCGTCTTGGATAGACGGTGTGTCATGACCTATTTCAAGGTCACCGTGACCTTTAATTAAAGTGAAATTTAAAAAAAAATCTTTTACTTAAGAAATAAGGTATCGTGATCGAGCCCGAAGGGCTTTATGGAAGATTTGATCATGTGCCAACCCGTTTTACATCCCAATAACACTCAGAAAATGATACCTTATTACTTATATTTACATTTGTGACTTATTCATTCTTTAAATTTGCCTGATTGTGCACTGACTTTTAACATGTGAAATGCATTATTTTTGTGTGTTCAAACCCAAATGTAAAATTGTTGTTTTGTCCAATCCTAGTTTGTGACTGAAATTGTGAATACGCTTTGACGTTAAGTCATATTTCTCACAATTTATTGAATTCCTTTATTTTAAAAATTTGACTTTTGTGGGGGCAAATATATGCAATATACCGCATATAGTTCTTTGCCTGATTGTGACTTTTAACATGTGAAATGCATTATTGTTCAAACCCAAATGTATGTAATCCACTGAACGCGCGTCGACCCTTTATGACGTCACTGAGAAATTACGTCGAACGTTTATCCATACGAACATCTATGACCTCTTGACCCCGTACCTGTATTTATACAGTTATAAAAACGCTTGCTTTCAGTATTGTTATATAAAGGGAAACATTTGCAAATGTAAATATTATTGAATTACACAATCCCAAAAATGTAAGACTGTTGCAATATCCTTATATAACAAATGTTATTTTATAAGAGAAAATCTACCTCTCCCAAGAGTATAATTATCAAGCACTGGTCAAAGAGAATTATGATAACAGAACATTGCGTGTTAAATTAGAGAGAAATTAATTGTTTTAGTGTAAGGAGCTAACTGGTAGAACTCTCTGATCAAGCAGTTGTTATCTGTTAACTGGGTTAAGGAATCAGCTGTAAATGGTTTTAATGACTAGCCTAACTTATTTTAATGAATTTGAGAAAAAGCAACTTCAAACTAATTTGATATTGTATAATAAACTATGAAATTGTGTAATAAACTAATTGATATTGTATGATATAATTAAAATTAATTATATTGTGTGTGTATGGGGGGATTGGAATCAGCATGCCCATTCTCCATATGAATTTCAGATTGAAACTTTTAGTCTGATATCAAATCCTAATAAATCAAGTATTAAGAAAAATAAATTTTAGTAGATAGTCTCTACAAATCTAAGAATCATGCAGGAACCTTATTCAAAATTATGCATCAAGATTACACAATTTTTTTTCAGTATAAATCTTTGTAACAAAATTATGCAAATCTTTGTTTTCAGATTTAATTTCAGAATGATGCATGCAATTATGTATTTTGATTGCACTATAAAGGAGAAAGTTAAGTTCCATTCATCCCTTGATAGTACATGTAATTAGTGGTCATGCATCCAGTCAAAGATTAATTAATGAGTTCTATGTAGGGAAGCTAGCTGTCTCAATTACTTCTGTTAGAGCATTTCTCTGATCAAGCAGCTCTTATCTGAATCCTTTGGAAATTAGACAGAAGTGCTGGTCAGTTTAAATAACATTTGTCATTTGATGGCCAGTCTCATATTTCTAAAATCAATTTGATATAGATTAACTTTTTAAAATTAATTAGTTAAATTGATATGTTTTTAAAATATATATTTATATATATATTTGAAAATATCAAGTGACCAAATTCATATCATCATTTTCACATGAAAGATATGTGCGTATGTGTATGTTTGTGGAGGAGGGGCATTTGTCAAGCTATAATGCAACCAGTTGATGATTATTTGTTATAATTAATGCTTACACCACAGGCTATAAGGAATGGAAAAAATTATGTTAATTCTTTTAAAGGTTAAAAGAATGACAAGATTTTCTTGCACTCTTATCTTTTTATAATAATTGAATGGCAATATTTAACGGGAGTATCATGCTCAGGAAATGCACTTTATTATTTTTAAAATGAATTTGATATGAATTTATATAGATTAATTTGATTCTGTATAATGTTTTTTTTAACAATCAATTCGTAGAGTATCATGACAAATAGTTACAATTTGTTTTTTCAATGAAATAAAAAGAAAAAAAACTGTTACAATTAATGTATTTATATTGATGGTTTATTTGGTTGCACCTTAGTTTCGTTAATTAAAAAAATATAATGAGCAATTATATTTTCACTCAAATTGTTTCTAAGAAAATAGTGAACACCTCTTAATAGATCCATAAATATTTGTGAATTTGCGCCTTCTCTGAAAAACCCGCGGGGTTATTTGTCCCTAATGGACAGTTTCTGCAGGCTTTATTTTTTGCGAATTTACAATTATTGCAATATATACATGTATATTGAGAGTTTTATCAAGACCGTCAATGTTACATGCAAGATGTTGTGAGTATTTGTCTTGTTATCCTGAATAAATACAAGTTAGATATTGGACAGTATAAAAAAAATATCTAAATGAGTACCTACAAATAGATAAACACAAAGGATATTCCTTGGAAAGTTATTGTACACATGTAACACATTTATTATAATCGGAATTTGTATACATAGAAAAAAAAATATACAACACTATATCAATTTACACAAGGTAACACATGCACTGCCTTTTGAGTTGCCCCAGCAACATATTGACCCAAAGGATTAGGACTTACCAAAGGTAATTTGAAAATGTTTTAAAGATTTTTTAATTATGTATTTAAGTTTTGATACACAATTCGAGTGGCAGACATAAAAACGGTATATTCCTTTGGTATAAGTTATAGTTACACTATAGATATTAATTGGTTCATGGTAAATACACTCGCAGTTTTTAATTCACTAGGGGCGGAGCAATAGCTATTGTGTAAGTTACTTGTACCAGAGGACCAATCAAAAAAGTTGAGTTAACCTTTTGTCAACTGAATGCTGCATAATAATGAGGAAATATTAAAATCAATCACTGTATTGACCAATGAAAATTCAAAGAAAAGAGTTGCAGTGTCTAATCTTGTTTAGAACATAACCTACTTATTCAGCCAATCAAATGCTTCCATTTCTCGCCAAGAATCGATTCTTCGTGGTGAAGAATTCTTCTATTTCTGAAAAATTCAACGGTGTCTGATTGGTTCACTTGACAGTTATATGGGTGTGTCTTCATTGGTCTTTGTTCAACACACAAAAAGAAACTATTCAAAACCCACGTGCTGTTTACAATGATATTTAAACTTTGTAGGCCTTGCTACACGTTTTTCCCCATTGTAATCGTTTGTCGCCTTTTTGAATATTATTTTTTTCACATTTCTGTACATACAGAAAATACAACCATCGTCATGTATATCAGAGACGAACCTTGTCTTCAAAGACAGATTTAATAACAATTTTCATCAATTTTTTATTTGATATTAGACAGCGATACCCACTCCTGCTGATTAGGGCCTTGTCATCTTAACACAATAATTTTTCAAAAATGTAGATACTACGACTCTTGTTACATGGGTATTCATTAGTTCAGTCACTTTAATATCTTCACCATACCATTTTCCCAGTAAATCAAGCTATTTCATATAATCCCCTGCTAACCTGAATGGGTTGGGAGTCCATTCTGACACCGCGTGTGTTCGACATTGATTGCATGCTCGATACTAGTATGTACAAGGAGCGGTCAAGTTGAGCTTTATATATGACACAGCCGTGGGAGGAGTTTATTTGTAATCCATTCATTTGATTGGCTGAGGTTATGTTCTAAGTCAGTAAGATCATATGAAGAGAAATCTTCGTCACGAAGAATGGGCTCCACTTCGCTCTGCCCATTCTTCATGACGAAGATTTCTCTTCATATGATCTTACTATTACATAAAAGGTAAAGACAAATTAAAATTTACAATAGTTTCACAGAAATGGATCTGTGGAATGTCCATGAGATAGATGATGTAACGTTGAGCCAGATTGCAGACTTTATTGAGGCTGAATCAAATTTTGAAAATCTGTCCTTTAGTGAGAATGATTTCCTTGACATTGACATTGATTTCGGAGATTTTGATGCATTGCCAATGGAAAATATTACAAGTTCTGATGTGAATACAATGATGGTAGACTTGAAATCAAGTACTGATCAAGCTTGTGATATTAAAACCGGAAGTTCCAAAATCAAAGTAGATACAGAGAATTCTGATGTGAAGTTATGTCCGTCGCGCTTCGGAGATCTAAAAGAGGAAGAGGACATAAATCGTCTCATCAAGGATACTGAGAGTAAAAATACGAGGAAAAACTCAAATTGGAGTAAGAAAACATTCGATGAATGGCGAGAGTTCCGAACAAGCCAGACAAACGTGCCTATACCTGAGATTGAGAATTTTAAAGAAAATGATGTAAATGTATGGATGAACAAATTCGTACTTGAAGCTAGACGCAAGGATGGAGCACCGTACCCTCCTAACATGCTTTATCAACTTTGTGCCGGTGTAAAGACGAATAATGACCCCCATCTAATAATGACCGGGGGTCATTTTTCAACGACAAAAAATGACTCCTCATCCGTAGAAAAAAAATCATTTTCTGTAGAAAAAGAGTCCTAGGGGTCATTATTTTATATGTTAGTCCTATAAAAATTTGACCCCCATTGAAAAAATGACCCCCTTTAAAGTGATACAAAATTAATAACAGGTGAAAGGGGAAAATATGCTGTATATTATAATTGTTCTTCCTTCGAAGAAGGATATGGAGATAACGAACAGTATTCAATCTCAAAGTCCATAAAATAATACAAAACAAGAGCAGAGCAAACAAGGACCCCCGAAACATCAGTGGTGGGATCAGGTGCCATGGAGGAGTGAGCATCCCCTGCCGACCGGTCACACCCGACGTGTGCTCCTTGTCATGATCAGGAAATAACGGAAAAAGTCCGTCGTCATTTCAGTGTATAAATAATGGACTAACAATTGGTATGAAAAACGTCAGTCAGAATTCGAGTAATTTATGCATTTGTTCGAATAGATTCCCTTTAAAGTGATACAAAATTTATAACAGGTGAAAGGGGAAAATATGCTGTATATTATAATTGTTCTTCCTTCGAGTAATTCATGCATTTGTTCGAATAGATTTGATCTATGTTCTTCTTAGCAAGTAGGGGTAATAAAAATCCTCATTTCTCTCTGCCGAAATATTGACAAATCAGTTTTAAGCAATTACAATCAATCAATTAATTTTAATATTCTGATAAAGGAGCAAACCTAGAAAATCAAAGATGGTACATGTAAATAGATCAAACGCTCACTGGAGATGACATTTATGAATATAATTTTTTTTTCTTTACTGACTCCATTGATACATTGTTTCAGAAAAAAAAATTTGTTGGGAAAAAGTAGAAATTTGTAGCAGACGAATTAATATCGATGCGTACAAATAAGTAATTTGTTCGAATTAATAAGGTTTCATTCGAACGAGTGAGTAAAAATAGAAATGGATGACAGGACGCCTCGATGCTGTTTATTTTTTATATGTTCCATCCTATACATGCAGACTACCACTATTTGATTTAAGATAGTTTAAATCTTTGCAAATACATATTCTTTGTATCCCCCCAAAAGAACATTACGTTAAATCAAAAAAAAAAATTATGAATGAAAAGCAAAAATATAAATAAAACTCTATACCTTTCAATAATACTGAAAGAGGCCCTACATAAAATATTGAAATGAAGTTAAGCCTTCACATAAGTACTATCATATCATAATTTACTATGCAATGATTAAGCATACTTTTAATGTTGGTGGGGGTATACTTGAAAGTATTGTGGCAAAGTAACAGTTGAAAATTAGTAGAATAGTAGATTATTTTAAGCTTATTTTTAGTCCCTCCTTATAGAAAAATAAAGGTAGGGTAGTTTTTTGTTGTTGTTGCTTTTGTTGATAATCGACTTCCTCCTAAATAAGTAAGGGGGTGGGTGGGTATAACACCTAAAAATATGCTCTGTAAAGCTATTGGCTGGTGTAAAATACACATTCTAATGAACAAAACTATACATGTAGACATAACCTTTTGATTAAGCACACAGTATCCTTTACATTTCTTAATTCTTGTTTTACTTCACCTTTTACTCAGTTCTGAGTATATTTTTCAGAGAATTTAATATGAAAATCAGAACAAACATTTCATTTTTGTAACGTCTTCTTTATATTGTATCATAATATGAAAAGCTAATTGAAGACCATTTCTTTTTATGTCCCCGTAATCGAAGATTCGGAGGTATATAGTTTTATCGTGTCCGTCTGTATGTCTGTCTGTCTATCTGGCGGTCTGTTTGTCCGCAAAAACTTTAACCTTGACCATAACTTTTCATTTATTGGAGCATTGACTTTTTCATATTTAATATTTGTATTCCTTGTCACAAGACCTTACTTTGGTTACCACCAAATTTGACTTTTTGACCTTTACCTTGGAGTTTGTCCCATTTTACACAAAAATGCCAAATTTTCACTTTGGCCATAACTTTTAAACGGTAGATACTAGTACTCTCATACTTCACATAAGTATTTTTTTGGCATGACCTTTCATTGGATACCAAAGACTTTGACATTTTGACGTTGACCTTGGAGATTTCCGTATTTATGAAAAAAACTTTAACCTTGGCCTTAACTTTTAAACGATAAGGGCTAGGGTTTTCATACTTCACATATGTAATCCTTGTTACATTAAACCTTTCTTAAGAAACCATCAACTTTGACCGTTTGACCTTTGAGCTTGACCTACCTTTCAAAAACTTATCCTTAACCATTACTTTTGAACAAGTGGTGCTAGTGCTTTCCTATTTGCAAATGTATTTCTTGTGAGAAGACCCTACTTTGGGGGCCAATGTATTCAAATTGCAATAAAGAAAAGTTTAATCGTCGCTATGTTGCCATACAGGGGCACTGTTTCACAAACACATCTTTTTATATATGAGTAGTTGCGGATAAGAGATGGATACCCCAAAGCGTAACAGACGGATGGACGGACAACCCGATCACTATATATTCTCCGGCTTTTCAAGCGGAGAATATAATAATATTTTTTCTGTCAGTACGATGATTTCCACCATCGGAAAACAATGTTTACCTAACCCTTTAGACTCGATAAATCTAATTTACTCCTTTATAATCTGAATCATCGCATTGACCTTAAAATATAGTTATAATTGTATAATGTTATGAGATCAACATATCATCAATTTATTCCCAATTAGCTCAGGTAAGCATTTTGGCCAATATGCTTCTTTATCTAATTTTTTCGTCCCCTAAAAATTTCAGCTTTAATCCACAGGGAGTCATTTTCCTACAGGGATCATTTTTCTTCACGTGGGTTCTGCAAATTTTTAGGATTGTGACACTTTTTCCACGGGCAAAAGGGTCATTTTTCGACGTCGAATAATAATGAAAAATGACCCCCGGTCATTATTCGATGGGGGTCATTATTCGTCTTTACACCGGACTGACGAGAATACAGAAAGAAAGCGGAAACTACATGTATTTTCTAGATGAAAAAAATCCAGTTTTTTTTCCCTTTCGAGGTAGTTTGAGTGCGAGAATGGCTGAGTTAACAAAACAGGGTGTTGGTACAGTATCGCGTCAGGCGGACCCCATATCACGCGACAACGAGGAGGAACTCTGGTCAAAGGGAGTATTTGGATCATGAACAGCGAACTCACTTTTATGTACAGTTTTCTTATATAACTGCAAATTGTTTGGGATGAGGGGGACCGATGAGCACAGAAACCTAGAGCTGAATCAATTTAAATTGGAGAAAGAACCCATAAGTCTTACATTCTATGGGAGAGCTAACAAAACCTACAAGGGTAAGTTACATCTATTTATAGTTTATAAATATTATATTTTATTTCTAGGGTAAATAAATTGCGACAATATTTAAGTTAAGGCGTTGTAATTGGGGGGAGGGGGGCTTTTTTGCAAATTTATACATAATATAGACATTGAAAATTGGGTTTACCTTATTTTATTGGTTTAACCCCAACCCCCCACTTTCAATTACCACCCCCTTTCAATTTGCATGCGACACCTATGTTAATTTTGCGCTACGTTTCGTCTTAAGGTATTGTAATGAGTAATGAAAAGGCCTATGCCATTCAAACGTTGGTGTGACCTGGACTAATGGAATAGTCCAAGAGCCTGTTCATCCCTGTTTGAATGGTATAGCCCTTTGCTATATAAACGACTGCAGAGGCAGTCTCGCTCTCTCTCTCGCGGAAACCCACAGAAGAAGCAGGAAGCTGAATAGAACATTAAAGGTAGTAATAAAAATTAGAAGTATTTAAAGGGAAAAAGAAAGATAAGGCTAGGGTACAGAGCACCGTTCGGTCGAATTAGTTATTTGTTCGGACGAACTAGAAATTCGTTCGGACGAATCTGTATTTAGCCAAGGAATTGAATTGAAGCACAAGGTGTAGTAATCCTGAGTAAGGGTGAGGCACCGAGTGCTCATATTCGTTCGTACAAATTAGAAATTCGTTCGGACGAATTAGGAACTTGGTCACGGAATCAGGTGCAAGGAGATGCTTCTTTTTATTTTGATTCTTTGCAAAATAACTTTAACAAACAACATCATAGTACCCGGTTACAAATAACTTTAACAAACAACATGAAGTGCATATTTTTATGTGCACCACCCTGAATTAACCTCTAATTGTATGCTGCTGTTTCATTTAAAAAAAAGCCCAGGTGTGTGAGGGATGGGAGTGAAAAGACAAGCATATATAGAACCATTATTTCCGAATATTTACCCCTATAAATAACGAATAATCATTTTTGTATATAATATTAACTTAAACGAATTTCCGTCCATATCTAATTTGTCCGAACAAATAATTTTGTCCGAACGAATTTCTAATTATCCGAACGAATATCTAATTCGTCCGAACAAATAACTAATTCGTCCGAACGAATTTCTAATTTGTCCAAACGAATATCTAATTCGTCCGAACGAATTTCTAATTTGTCCGAACAAATATCTAATTTGTCCGAACAAATAACTTATTTGTCCGAACGAAAAGTAAATTCGTCCGAAAATTTCTAATTTGTCCGATCCGAATTTCTAATTTGTAATTCTAATTTGTCCGAACAAATAACTTATTTGTCCGAACGAATTTCTAATTTGTCCGATAGGCTCAGCTAGAGCCAGAGGAAAAGTTTATATATAATTGACCCTGTATCTCCTGAAAACGGACCCTTAAATTAGGTTACACGCTACAATATTTTTTAATCTTATTCTTTAAAAAAGGGAGGTAAACACATTTGTGACAAAGAAATGAAAAGTTCATACGTGTAGGAACGAAAATATGAGAAATTTAATGGCTGTTATAATTTTAGGTGGACTGAATCAAAGGCACATTGCTCCAAAAACTATTACGCACGTGTTTTCTGACCCAAAGCTTTTCGTTATATACGAGGAATACAACCCACTTGTCCAAATGATTTCTACTAATGAGAATGGTTCTGAACCATTTTATAGGCGTCCTCTGGAAAACAAGAATAGCTTGAAAACATTTAGTAAGCAGTGTCTTGGTGTCAATAAGTTGTCAAAGCTTATGAAAAGTATTTGTGAGGAATGGGGCTCAAAGGCGCATTTAGTAACCATTCAAGGAAGAGAACTTGTGCAACTCAACTTTATCAAGCCGGAATTGAAGAGCAGGAAATTATGGGCCGTACGGGACATCGCAGTATACAAAGCGTAAGAAAATACAAAAGGCCTTCAGCAGAAATGCTAGAGAACATTTCAAATGTTTTGGAACCGCCTCTGAAAGTGAAACGCGAGAAAGTTGAAATGGAGTGCAAGATGTCTGTAACCACTGAGAAAATGGGTTCTAATTCTGCCTGTACCGCGGCCGGTGTTACTTCGTATAACAATTGTGTTTTTGAATTTAAAGTTTGACAGTTGTCAGTACAATGCATAGTGCAGAGCAAGGAAAAAAGCCAGTTATTTATATTCGCATAGACTAATGCTGGCAATTATAGTTTGATTTCATTGTAGAAATTAAAGTTTTTAAATGTTTCTGTTGCATATGTGAAGCACACAATTTAAGACAATATAAGAAAAAAAATTGAATTAATAAAATGCTTTAATTTGTTTTCACAATAATCAATTGTAGCCACTTATTTTGTCTGTTTACATGTAGTGCAGAAGTTTGTGCAATGTTGTTTGTGTAAATACGACATCATTCATTCAGCAGCTAGGGTGTGGAAATTTACACTGATCATTCATTCATCAGTCAAGGTCTTGACACTATAGCTTGGTGCCAAAAAAGTGGGCGTGACTTAAATAACAGTGGTTCTTCTGGCAAATAAACCACAGCCACATCAAAGTAAAATCTGAATTTACCGCCAGTCCTATGGTACAATGTAGATGTAACAGATTGATTGATTACATGTTGTTTAACGTCCCTCTCGAGAATTTTTCATTCATATGGAGACGCAACCACTTGCCGGTGGAGGGCTACAAATTTTGTCCTATGCTCGGCACTCAGGGCCTTTGAGCAGTGAGGGATCTTTTTCGTGCCAGCACCTACTGCAACACGGGGCCTCGGTTTATGCGGTCTCATCCGAAGGACCGGTCTCCACGTCCCGCAGTGGGATTCGAACCCGCGACGTAAGGATTGACTCCTTACTTCGCGACTCTAGAGCAGACGCTCTAACCACTGCGCCACGCGGGCGACTAGATGTAACAGATGCAGATGCGACTGGTATCACTATCTATGGATCAACACCAACGTCATCCAAGTGTATGCATGTTATTTATAAATTGTAGATAATCCAACGAGACATATACTGTATATAATAGATAAAATACAATAGAGATGGATTCATACCCATAGTGTGGTATGTAGCTATATGTACATGTATATTATTGTAAATAGTTATTATCCACTATTATGAAGTGAATATATGTAAAGAGTAATATCATTTGTATATCTAAAGTCAAGAGATATAACTCATTGACATATGTCAATATTTAATATTTTATAGCCTAATGAAATATATAGTAATTATCTAATTTTATGATGACAATAGATTCTGCTGTTATATGTGATTTCAAATTTAGTAAATGTATTTTTTATCATATTGCAGAATCTGGTATATGATGATTCATTTTATACAACTGTAATAAACATCATCACAGTGAAACATCTTGTTTTTAATTGCTGCCCCTGCTACATTTGTTGACTGTCAATGTTTATTTTTGTCCGTCAATGTCATTGTCTGTTGAACATTTTGTTGATGCGTGTCTCATACAGTAGTATATAGCAGCTGAATATTATTCCCTGCGCGCGATCACTTTCTCAATTGCAGCATTACTAACCAAAACACAGGACTTGAGAACAACAGGACTGTGGGACAAAGCAGACAGGTATACTTGTGTATATTTCTTTTTTTTTCAATTTATTGTGTATCTAGTTGTGTTTGAACAGAATTTGAATGAGTGATTGCTTGTGTGTTGACAAATGCGCATTGCGATAAGTGTATTTTTGCTTGCGATTTGGTATCAGTTGATCATTTTCAAATCAACATGGCATCTGCTGGTATTGATGAAAACAAGGGTAAGAAGGACTTACAAGAAGATATTGATGAAACGAAGGGTAAGAGGGACTTACAAGAAATTATTGAGCAAATCAATGCAGAACCGCATTGCAGGGTTGTAACAAAAGAGGAGTATGACCTGTTGAAAGCGCAGAAAATTCCAACTAGTAAGGTTGAACAAGGTTTGAGTGAAGGTACTATACCCAAACTACCATCCTTCCACACTGAATCGTAATGTATCATCAAATTCTCCCTCTGTAAATACCAGTGTACCGCCAGTTCCAAGAAGATCTACGAGACAGGTGAGGCAACCTGACAGAAACGGTGCGTGGGTGCATCAGGTGACTCCAGTATATTTTGTGTAGAACACATGTGAGAATGTCACATAGATGTTTATCTTGTTTGTAAATATCACCCCTACTATTGTTATTGTGATTTAAATTCCTGACCAGTGGTTTAGGGTTACCCATTCAAAGGTTATAGGGTAGAATCGGTTTTCTAAACAAAATTGGCAGTAAACAGGAAATTGCTATAGTCCGTTTAATTCTTTTGAAAACATGTCCTGTGAAAAATGTGTTTCCAGACCTTTCTGAAATTTTTTTTTGGATTTTCAACAAAAAAGGGTGGCCAAAAGGGGGGGGGGGGTAAATAAAAATATATTTTATCATAGTTTACGGCAAAAAATAAAGCTCACTAGCGACCGATACGCTAGTAAAAAATATGTATAATATCATCTACACTGACAAACCTTTGTTTGCCGTATTTGGCTATTGTTATTAATGCGCACAGAGGATCTAACAACGAGCAACTGACCATTTGTTGATTGAATAAGGTTACACCAATTGCATGTTTACATTCACTTCGAACACGTGGTTCAGGTCAATCTATGATCATGTCAATGGAGTGCAAAATAAAAAAATGTTCTTATGAACAAAATGCAAAGATTAGAAACTATGAAAGATGTCGCGGGCGTTTTTAATTTGTTTTTAACTAGAAAAAATATGTTTAATAAAATGTATAATTATGAAGTTAGTGTCAAGTTCAGAAAACCAGCACTCCAAGGGTAAGGAAAACGAGTAGCTTCTCGTATGCATTTAAATGGACAAAACATATACTCGTGGTCATGTGTTTTGGACAGAGAATCCACCTGACAATTGTATTAACCGATAGTACAATAAACGAATTTATCTAGCGTAAAATTCATTACGTAGTATTCGTAGTAACCCATGATGCAATTCTCATTCAGCTGACTGGTCAGTTAAAGTCACATTGGTGCCTCATTTGCTAATTTGACGCAAAAAATGTAGTCCCGGTTCCCATGCAAAAACATTTGTCAAAAAAGAAATTTTAATTCATGATAGCAGAAAATTGTATCATAGATAATACTTATAATTTAAATTTAAATGAATTCAAGAGAGATCAATTGAAGTACATTTCTACAGAATGATATTATAGGGTGGTGAAAACAATAACGCAACATAACTTTTCTGTTTACCATGTCTCCACGTGCTAGTCACTTCCTAGCCACATTTCCGTGAATAATTTACCCTATCTCGCTGTAGTCTCGCGAGCTCTCACCAGAGCCACTGTCAGAGCTACTCCGAACTCATCGGGTTTTATAATTTGTAGAACAACGAAAAATAAAAGGTTCTGAACACATTACTAAGGGTGAATATGTTTGTGATTTAATACTTTGTCTATAAAATGCGACATGGACATTGCGATTTGATTCATTTAAAATGCCATTTTTCCTAGCAGGGGAGATGTCACAGTTGTTATTACTGAATATTTGCTTGGATGCATTGCGCAATACTTAGTGCGTATTCCGATTGGCGCGCATAGCCAATCGAATACAACCGGTTTTGAGGTATGTGAGAGCCATATGTTCGAGTGTTTTGTTTTGAACAGGTGAATTTCTATTTTTAGCATTTCTTTACGTATGACTGACCAGTGACCTACCAGGGACCAATGGATTTCGTTGTACTAATTTTTTATGCATGTTTTACTAACCCGTGCACTAAACAAAGCAAGAAACCCGACAAAAATCCCCACCCAAGGCTCTTCAGCCTTTACGGCAAAAGATAACATAGATTCTATCGCAGATATTTTCAATCGATTTACAGCATATATTATCATTTCTTACTTAATACTGGATGCCTGGTAAGATGTTCATTAATCTTGTAATTCATTTACTTGTTTAATATTTGTAACGATCTACTGGCAGTCGTTGAAATATCTATTTAGGTCTTTCCACCTTTCTGTGGAAAGACCTATTGATTTTCTTCTGTTTCTTCTTTTCCTTTTTTATTATTTTTCCGCCGTGTGATTTTGAGTTTCAAGATTTATCGAAAAGATTTTAAGTTCATAAGAATGTACTCTGTAAAAGATTTTCGAAGTTGACCCTGCGTATGTGAACTATGACCCCTTTTGGAGTTATTACCCCAAAGCTTGTTATCGTTACTCTTTCGAAACCGTAAATCGTAGAGAAATGGAACCTTCACTAAAGTCTTTGACTAATTAAGTAGACGCTTCAATGTTTCATTTCGAAAGTATTCGTTGACTCCTTCTATGAATTATTGCCCCTGAAACTTTTTGAATTTTACAAATAATTAAAAATACCCAGAACAAGAAGTTGTAGAGACGTGGGATCAACTGCATAAAATTCATTGACCTTTGACCTTGAAATTAATGCAAAGGTCAAAGGTCAAGGTCATTCCAAAAATGAGAAATTAAGCTCTTTTTATATCTCTTTTGTCTTTCAACATATACTTGATGTCTTTGCATCATTGTTATGTACTCTTAAAACTATTTCAAATATTTCATTCTTGTCCCCTAAGATTAACCCTTTTAAAAGTTATGTCCCTTTGTGCAAAAAACCTTGTCATCGCTACTCCTCCGAAACCGTAGACTGTAGAGACACCAAACCTTCACTAATATCTTAAGAGACTTTAGGCATAACTTCACTGTATAAGTGCATAAGGATCTGATGACCCCTTATATGAGTTGTTGCCCTTTAACGTCTTTATACTTACTATTAAACCTTATTACTTGAAAACTATAAGCCTTAGA